GCGGCGACTGAGATCCTGGGGTTCGCAGCGGGATCTGGCGGAGGAGAGTGAGAATGCTGAGGCATTTTCTCGCTCGCCATCGGCTGGTCCCGCAGCCTCTGAGAGTGGTGTGGGAGCCCGCGCTGCGGTTTCTCCTACCCGCGATCAGGTCCCGGTGCTTGAGCTGTCTACTTCTGAGGAAGGGGACGTGCTCAGCATCGATGCGGACGACCGTGATCTCAGCACGCCATCACGCGGCCTGGGTTATGAGGAGCTGGTGGAGGTTGTGACACGCCGCTGTGGCAGACTAAACATCAGCTGGCCACAACATGAGCAGGAAACGCAAGTCACCAGTAAAATGGACGAGCGTTACCTGCAGCGCAGGTCACAGCCTCACCGCCGGGGTCTGCCGTTTTTCCTGATCTCCATAAAGAGATCTCGAGAACGTGGGAAAGACCGCATTCGTCCCGTATTTCGAGTCCCAATGTAATAGATTACAGCAATGTTATGGGGGCTCGAGATATGGGATATGGGAAGATGCCGAAGGTGGAGGAGGCTTTAGCGAGCTATCTCTCTCCCGAATCGGCGTCTTCCCTAAAGACCCCGGTGTTGCCTAGTAAGCCCTGCAGAGAGACATCTGCATTGGTGGGCAGGGCTTACATGGCGGCGGGTCGGGCTGGTTCGTGTCTGCACTCAATGGCGATTTTGCAGGCATACCAGGCCGACCTCCTGAAAGATTTGGATGAGGGGGAGGGGCCTACTCCTGAAAGATGTCGCGGAGTTAAGGAAGGCCGCAGATTTGTCTCTCCGGGCCACTAGGGAAGCGGCCAGCGCTATTGGCCGCTCTATGGCGGCCATGGTGGCCACGGAGAGGCATCTGTGGCTGAACTTATCCGGTATTAAAGAAAAGGATAGGTCCTTCCTGCTGGATGCGCCGCTTTCGGCTTCTGGCCTGTTCGGCGACGCCGTTAATTCGGTTGTCGACAGGTTTCAGGAGTCGAGAAAACAATCTGCGGCGTTCCAGCAGTACCTCCCCGGAAAGCGAAGGCCAAATCTAGTAGGGGGGGCAAAGCAATCAGCCCCAGCCATCAGCCAGCTCCTCCCACAGGGCAGAGCAGAAGGAGAGCGTTTCCTCTAGAGCCCCCCTCCGGGGTCTTGGCAACAGAGGAAACGCTCCCAAAAACCGAAGTCCTCCAGCCAGAGGGGCGACCTGAGGGACGTCATTCAGGCTAAGAGGACTTCGGAAAAGAGGTCCTAGCCAAGGCAGGACTTCAGAGGGCTGCCCCCTCCGCAGTGAGACAACCGAGGTTGTTCTCACAACGGGGCCCTCTAGGAAAAGATGCAGGTCCGCCGTTAACAGCGCTTCGGGCCGCATCAATTTCCAGCGAAAAGACACCAGAGGCCAGCCTCGAGAGGCTGGTACCCTTAGCAGATTTTTGTAGAGGGATGGTATCATCTTCCCAACATATCTCCATGGGTCCTGCAGATAATACGAGTTGGGTACAGACTGCAGTTCGCGCACCGCCCCCCCAAGTTCTCTGGGGTGGTGCTCACTGCGGTGGTCCCAGAGCAGGCTCAGGTGTTGGAACAAGAAGTACAGACTCTGCTGTCGAAAGGAGCCATAGAACGTGTTCTTCCGGTAGACAGGGAGTCCGGGTTTTACAGCCGGTACTTTATAGTTCCAAAGAAGGATGGGGGGTTAAGGCCAATTTTGGATCTCAGGGTGTTGAACCGGTCTCTGAGAAGGTTCAAATTCAGAATGTTGACCATTCCAACAATCGTGAGTCAAATCAGATCCGAGGACTGGTTTGTCACGATAGATCTGAAAGACGCCTATTTTCACATCTCCATCCTTCCTTGTCACAGGAGGTACCTGAGGTTCGCTTTCGGGGGCGAAGCATACCAATATCGGGTTCTTCCGTTCGGCCTAGCACTCTCTCCCCGCACATTTACCAAGTGTATGGACGTGGCCCTTGCTCCACTGAGACTTCAGGGGATTCGCGTATTGAATTATCTCGACGACTGGCTTATTTTTGGCCCAGTCTCGGGGAGATGGCAGTTCGGCATCGAGATGTCGTTCTTGGCCATATTCAAAAATTGGGGTTAAGACTCAATTTGAAGAAGAGTGTGCTAGAACCGTCCCAGGGCACGACCTTTTTGGGAGTCGTGTGGAACTCGATTACAATGCAGGCACGTTATGTCTCCCGCACGTATCGAGTCAATTCTGGCGATGGTGTCCAGGGTGAGGCTAGGTCAGGCCGTCACTGTGAAACACTTTCAAAGGATGCTGGGCCTCATGGCAGCGGCATCCAACATTATTCCTCTGGGCCTCCTTCACATGAGGCCCCTCCAGTGGTGGTTGAAGACCAAGGGGTTCTCACCCAAAGGAAATCCGTTCCGTATGATCAGAGTAACGCGCAAGTGCCTTCAGTCTCTGCAAATATGGAAGAAGCCTTGGTTCCTATCCAAGGGCCAGTGTTGGGGGTGTCATGTCGCCGGGAAAACCGTTTCGACAGACGCCTCCCTTACGGGCTGGGCGCGGTCATGGACGGCCGCTTTACCAGGGGTCTGTGGCAGGACCATCATCGCACTTGGCATATAAATTGCCTGGAGATGATGGCGGTATTCAAGGCTTGAGGAGCTTCCTCCCAGACATCGAGGGTCGCCACGTCCTTATACGGACAGACAATACGTCAGTGGTGGCCTATCTGAACCGACAGGGGGGACTCAGATCGCGCCCTCTGTGCAAACTGGCGCATCAGATTATCCTTTGGTCCCAGGGAAAGATATTGTCAATAAGGGCAATGTATATCCCAGGGGTTCAGAATCGGGGAGCAGACATCCTGTCGAGGCAGGGGCTGAGGCCCGGGGAATGGAGACTTCATCCGGATGTGGTGAAGTCGATATGGGAGAGGTTCGGACCGATGGAAGTGGATCTGTTTGCGTCTCGAGAGACGTCCCACTGTCCACTTTGGTTCTCCCTCTCACATCCAGCCCCACTGGGGTTGGATGCCATGGTACAGGCTTGGCCGAGGCTTCGCCTGTATGCTTTCCCCCCGATCGCTCTGCTCCCAGGGGTCCTGGAGAGGGTCCGTCAAGAGGGCATCAGTCTACTTCTGGTTGCCCCGAGATGGCCGACACGAGTATGGTTCTCGGATATAATATCACTCCTCATAGCTCCGCCATGGCCGATTCCTCTGAGGAGGGATCTATTGTCTCAGGCGGAGGGCACAATCTTCCACCCTCGCCCAGAGTTGTGGAAGCTGTGGGTCTGGCCTCTGAGGGGGTTCAGTACCTAAATGCTGGCTTATCAGCTGAGGTGGTTGAAACCATACTTAGCTCTAGGGCCCCATCTACCAGGAGATTATATGGCCTCAAGTGGAAGGTGTTTCACACTTGGTGTGGAGAACGAAGGTTGGATCCAGTAAACTGCCCAGTGGCTTCAGTTCTGGAATTCCTTCAGGATCGTTTCTCTGCGGGTCTCTCCCCGTCCACTCTTAAGGTGTACGTGGCTGCCGTTTCGGCTTTCCACGCGCCAGTAGATGGTGGACCTCTGGGGAGGCACCAGTTGGTCATTAGGTTTCTCCGTGGTGCTTGGAGGATGAGGCCGGCGATCAGGTCCAGGGTGCCTGCCTGGGATCTGGCAATAGTTCTGGAAGGGTTGTCCCTCGCTCCCTTCGAACCTTTAGAGTCGGCTTCGCCTAAGGACTTAACGTTGAAAATGGTCTTTCTCTTAGCGATTACCTCTCTTAAGAGGGTGGGAGATCTCCAGGCCCTGGCGGTAACGCCAGCTTGCTTGGAGTTTGCCCCTGGCAAAGTAAAGGCCTTTTTGCACCCGAGTCCGGGCTACGTGCCTAAAGTTCCTTCGAGTACGGCTCGCTCTGTAGTCCTTCAGGCATTCCATCCTCCACCTCATGTGTCGGCGGGAGAAGAGAGGCTTCACTTGCTCTGCCCCGTCAGAGCTTTGAGTGTATACTTGGAAAAGTCTGCTTCTTGGAGAAGATCTGACCAGTTGTTAGTATGCTTTGGGTCACCTAAGAGGGGGCTCCCGGCGACCAAACAAACTATAAGTAACTGGATTGTCCAGGCTATTACTGAGGCTTACAAGGTGCGTGGGGTTCCTTCACCTTTGGCCTTAAGGGCTCACTCAACTAGAGGCATGGCTTCCTCTAGGGCCCTTCTGTCGGGAGTACCTCTGCAGGAGATTTGTGAGGCAGCCGGCTGGGCTACCCCGCATACTTTCATCAGGTTTTACAGTCTCAGCCTTCCCAGTACGCCCGGTGCACACGTACTCGGCCCTTGCTGAGTGCCTAATCAGTTTCACTCTGGGGCGGGTCTGTTCGGTGCGTGGCCTAGTGGGTACTCGTTCCCCAAAGAGTCGATTTTATCGACGCAGTGTTGAGTTCCCTCGATAGGGAACGTCTCGGGTTATGACTATAACCCTTGTTCCCTGAGAAGGGAACGAGACACTGCGTCGTGTTGCCACGCCCCCTTTTCAGACCCTTGAGCGTCTTGCTTCATCGCGAGGCTAGTGTGTGTTGTGACAGCGTCACTTTTATACTTCCGGGTATGCCGTCACATGTTACGTCACGACGCAACACCAATCAGGATTGGATTAGTTTCATTCATACTTCAGAGGCGCACGCTTAGGGAGCGTCCCCAAAGAGTCGATTTTATCGACGCAGTGTCTCGTTCCCTTCTCAGGGAACAAGGGTTATAGTCATAACCCGAGACGTTTTCCACTTACAGACGACACCATTGTCAAATTGTGAAAACGATTAAAACGCTTGTATTCTGCTGCCAGGCCATGGTTGGCGACGTCACTTTGTAAAGTAACACTACGCGCTAATAGACTGAACACGTAATACACATGCGCACGAAGTCAAGTTTATGTTGTTTACATGGAGACGCTACTAATACTTGCACTTTGAATCCTGTTTTCAGAAGTCGTGTAAACGGTAAATACAGTAAAAATCAAGTTAAAAATCACCACACCTTCTCCCTATATGGACACTGGGAAATATATTTCATCATTTTTATTTATGTGCTCAGTAATAAAAAAAACAATCATTTACTACTGCTTGTACATACATTTTACCCAAACATTTAAAATTGTGAAATGCAAAATGGGGACTTTCGTTTTTGAGCGATGTTGCAAAACACGGATTTGAATAAATTTGGAATAAATTTAATTCCTAACACACATCTGCATTTTTTACTTTGAAGTTATTGCAGAAAAAATAAAAATCATTGAAAAAAAAAATGTTGGGTTAGTTTTATTCCACAGACAAAATGTATACATTTTTATAACTGTTTAATATATTTCCCAGCCCTATTACATATGTATGCATTTCCAACAAATGTTCATTCAGCATAGGAGTGACACAACAATAACTAAAAAGTTACAAAATATAAAGGCACAATGAACTAGCAGACATGAAAAGGAACATTTCGGAGTAAAGGAAAACTTGCAAAGACAGCTGGAGTAGTGACAAGGAAATTCTTCCACAGCTGTAGTGATAGTAGGACTTGAAATAAATGCAATGTCAGAGAACTTTCCTGTTCCTCAATAGTCCATCGGACCACACGTGACTTGGAGTTCAGCAAGAAAATGGATGTTCTTGCTTTCACATGTGGCTTTGACACCCTGGAGGTTTCAAAGGGGGAAAAGGGGAGAATTACAGGCCTGGATCTCTTCCATCTCTCCCTCTCTTCATTTCTTTCCCATTTTGCTCTTTCTCTTCCCTCCCCAGTTTCATCTGTCCTTCAGCAGCTGCAGCCGTCACTGGTGGACGCAGGTCTGTCGTCTCTTAGTTTAATCTGGTCAGGGAAATCATATGTGTCCACAGTCTCCTGAAAGGTTAAATTCATTTCAGATTAAGTGTTTTTTTTGTAACGGCAAAACCCAGCCAGGTAAACAGAAAATTCAGTGATCATTAATTCATTTATTTCGTGAAAATAAAAAAGGAGAAATTTTGCAGAATGTTCACGCTGCACTTTCCCGCATATAACAGCTCGGATATGCCATTAAAGAAGTTCACATTACTAATACACTAGTCATAACATATCTTTGTGACAAAAAAATACTAAAATCAATAATTGTATCCCTTAAAACTCATGTTTGATCACCAAAATGACATATTTAAACCATAAAACAACTTATATACGTTAATGATCTGTAAGACTGGGGCTTTATTAATGTTGTTCATTGATTCGAGTACATTTTTTTGACATTTGGGTTTAAAGTTTTTTAATTCTACAATATATGGTGTAAAAACGTCTGAATGCTGCCCTCTTCAGGTTGAACGATGGCTACTGCAGTTGAATTTTCCTATTGGATGTTGTGGTATTGTGACGTAAGCCTACAGATAGTCATTTCAATAGGAATCCCTGTGATTGGGCAGTTTGTGTGAGAGCACAAGATTTCACAAGCCTGTCACACGGATTCACCGAATTGACTTTGGTGTGAGCTGTGCTTCATACATCATTACATTACTGACAATAGACAATGAAACTTTATGCCCACAAAACTTTGCTAATGTGACTGCACCTTTGACAAGGATTGCAACAGAATGATATTTTCACTGTATAATAACCATCTCATGAACAAATGCTCTATTATAACAAACTTGATATGGGTCTCCCTTTTGTAATACATATAGCCGTAAGCAACAAACAGCAGTCTGAGCACTATTAGCCCATGTGGATGAATAGCGATCCAGTTGAAATTGATCTTATGATGTGGTTTTTTACAGCAAAGTCCATCTTCATCACTGAAAGTTAGTATGTGTGTGTGGCGTATGTGTGGACTGAAAACCACAGTGGACTTAAAATGAGAAGTCCATGGTGGCAAGATTGTTTGGACGGAAATGAAATGTGAGTGGCTTGCCTCAAGGATTCGGCAAAAGCAATCCCTTTGTTTCAGGCCCTTAGGGTTTCAAATAGTGTCGGACGGTGTGTGTCTGAGAGCACAATTGGGACTATCCTGCCGAGTTTGGGGTTTCTGACGCCCATACACTTTCAGGGCAGTAAAATAAACGGCAAGAAAATAAGTTCAAGCTGTTCAAACACCAAATTCAGTTCTCATTCATATCTTTATATTGGATGTGTATTAGATATTAAAGTGACAGCAGCCTAATAAGCCTCACTTTAGAGGATTTGGAATAAAGCACATGAGTTGTAGAAACTACTTTTATGGTGCTTTTTGTTCTGAAAAGAGCAGTGTGAACATTTTGTTAAACGTCTCCTTTTGTGTTTCATTGAAGAGAGTCTTAAAGGGATAGTTCACTTTTGAAATTAATTTTTGGTATGTTTTAGCTTACCTCAAGGGCATCCAAGATGTAGGTGTCTTTGTTTCTGCAGTATTTTCAATTTTGATATTTTTAGGTCAAACCGTTCTCTATAATGCAGGTCCATGGTCACCACCTCAAATCATTAAATCATGTTTAATTTGGACTTCTCTGTGCATGCTCTTTGAAGTGGTGACCATAGACCTCCATTATATGACTGACAGACGAGAACGGTTTGACCTAAAAATATCAAAATTGAAACTACTGCGGAAACAAAGACACCTACATCTTGGATGCCCTTGAGGTAAGCTAAAACATACCAAAAAATTAATTTTAAAGTGAACTATCCCTTTAAAGGTTTTGAAACAACATTATTGTGAGTGAAATGTATTTATTTTGGGGTGAATCTCTCAAATAAGGTGATAAATGACTGATTATTTGCAAAGTGAAAGTTAATCTGTAGTATTCGTAACTTTCTCTACCTGTTTAAGTGCATTGCGAGCAATGGTTTGGAAGGCCTGCTCCACGTTAATGGCTTCTTTAGCACTGGTCTCAAAATAGGGGATGTTGTTCTTACTCTGACACCATGCTTGTGCCCGCTTCGTTGTTACCTGTTCAAAATACAAAGGAAATGATGAATTCAATCTGAAAAACTGGCAATAAAAAAAAAAATCACTTATTTTATTACATCACTTAATATGCTCTTGATAGGAAAAGTTCTAGTTCTGTTATATTGTTTGATATTTGCCTATTCAGGGCTCATATTTCTGGAGGTTTTATAAAGTTAAATGCAAAGCCTTAAATATAGCTCTCTGTATATTTGTGTGCACATTTTTTTTTTTTTTTAAAGTGGCAAAGCTAAAATGAATTAAAAAAAAAAAAAGCCTATGGCTACACTCGCTTTTTTTGTAAATCATTTTTTTTTTGTATATAGCTTGATTATATCTAAATTTTACCTGTATATTTTGACATTTACAACTTGTGTTTACATTTTAAACCTTTTAAAATGCTTCATTGAGCATGTTTGTGTTTTTTGTAGTAGAAAAGCTATAACATTTCTATTCGGATTTTGTGTTTTTTGTCTGATTTTGGGTCCAGTATGTTGATACAGTACATCAAAGTGATAAACTAATTGTCTGGTCATATAGGTGATGTTGTGCTGAAAAAAATGACACCAAAAATTGGTATGGTAAACGTTTGTTTATGTCGCAAAATTAAAAAAAATAAAAAAGTACTCAAAAAGGGCCAAAATAGCCCAAGACTCCGAAGGGTTAATTCAAAGTGAAGTTATACAGAAATTTGTTCTTATTTTAAGCATAAACTCACTTAATTTTATTCAGTTTTTTAAACCTTGCATTTGACATTGATTTAATGTTTCGATATTTGTATTGGAAAACAGGACAAGCGTACACTGAAGAAGATATTCATTTTCTGCACTGCATGCAACATTAAATGTCCTGACTTTGTGAATTTAAGACATTCAGCTCTGAATTAAGACCTTTTTAAGGCCTTAAATTGTGTAAGAGTGAATTAAGACTTTTAAGACTTCTTATTTTTTAGATCATTGGTCAGTAAGATCCATTTTACATACAGTAGTACCGTTCAAAAGTTGGGCGTCCGCTACTTTTACTAAGCAAGGATATATTACAATTACATTGATATAAAGTGACAGTAAAGACATTTATAATATTACCACAAAAAAAATAAGTATCATGGTTTCCACGAAAATATAAAGTAGCACAACTGTTTTCAGAAATGTTTCTTGAGCAGCAAATCATCATATTAGAGTGATTTCTGAAGGATCATGTGACATACAGTAGAAGATCACAGGAATACAACATATTTTACAATAGAAAACAGTTATTTTTCAACTTTAATAATATAATTTAATTTGAACTTAATTTTCAAGCATATTATTGATCTGACTTGATCTGAGAAGGACGACGACATCCTCTTTTGCAGAACTGCTTCATAGATGAAATGAACTACTTTAATAATCTTTACAACCGATCTTAACCAGCATGGAATTGACTGAACAGCAGCCGAAACGCATCATTTCCTGCTATCTCTGTAAAGCTGCTCTGAAACAATCTTTATTGTACAAAGCGCAGTATAAATAAAGGTGACTTGACTTGGCATTCCCCCTGCACTGAACTCTGGAGAGTCAAGCAACAGCATTACGTCTGATGCCGCATTGCGCACGGGTCAAACATTGCCATGCTGACAAAGTTCAAACGATTTCAGTTTTGCCTCATTACCTTTATAAGCACAGCCCATGATTACCACACAATCTGCATGATACAAACATCAAAACAAGATGGCCGACAGAACAGCAAAGGCAGATCGTGACATTCAGAGGAAATGAATGTGACTTCTCAGATGTATCAAAGCAAACAGCAGGAATTATCCCTGATTTAAGCTCAGAAACCGGTCTGTCCTCATTGCTTACCATGTGTACGTCCAGTTTGCTTGCTACCAAACAACCTTGTTCAACCGCTGCCCAGTGTACGGCAAGCCATTTGAACTTTTATTCATTTCCAGGATATAAATTCTTGATATCAAGCATTTAATTGCTGATATCTGTAATTGTATTTTCACTAGTGAAATGTCACCATAGGCTGCCATTCAAAATCAATTGTTGATATCAAGAATTGAGTTTTTGCTAGTAGAAATATCATTTTTGATATCAATAATTGCATTGTTACCAGTAAAAATGTGAATTCCTGATATCAACAATTCAATTGCTACTATAGTCTGAAAATGTATTTCTGATATCAATATTATTTCAGATATCTAAAATAGCTTTCTTACTAGTAACAATCACATTCATGATATCAGAAATGAACAATGTCATTAGTACAAATTAAATTTTTGATATAAAAAAATGAACATTGTTACTAGTAGCAATTGAATTGTTGATATCAAGAATAGACATTTTAACTAGTGACAATTTAATTATTGATATCAGGAATTCGCTAGTAACAATGTAATTATTGATATAAAAATGATCTTTCTACTAGTAAAAAACAATTCTTGATATTATTTCATTTCATTTTATTTATTTATTTATTTCAACAGGGACAATGTGCAAAAAAACATTAATTAAAGATGCTTTGCACCAGATTTAGCTTAAGCTAGATTCCATCTGTAAAATATTTAAAAAGAAAAAAATATTAAAAAATATTAAAAATATTAAATAAATTTTAAAATTGTAATAAATTTTAATATTAAAAAATATTTATCAACAATTGATTTTGAATGGCAGCCTATGGTGACATTTCTCTAGTAAAAATACAATTTCAGATATCAGCAATTCAATTGTTGATATCAAGAATTCATATCCTGGAAATGAATAACAGTTAAAACGGCAGTGACTCTATCTGCAATGCTTTTCATGTGGAGGTCAATGCGGCGTTGAAATCTCATCGTGAGTCGCGTGAAAGGACTTCAATCTCGTCTGCTACAATTTTTATTTTTGCTTTTTAAATATTTTCACCAATTCATTAGGTATTTTAACTTAAGCAATTGTATGTACTGCTGCTAAAATGTTTAGACTTAGTAAAAAAAAAGTATGTTGTTGAAGTTTCTTATGCTCACTACGGCTGTATGTATTTGTTCAAAAATACAGTAAACACAGGACTATTGTGAATTATTATTACAATTTAAAATTTTCTATTGTAATATATTTGAAAATGTATTTTATTCTTGTGATCAAAGCTTAATTTTCTGCATTATTACTCCAGTCTTCAGTGTCACATGATCCTTCAGAAATCATTCTAATATGATGCTTAAGAAACATTTATTATCATCATCAATGTTGAAAACAGTATTTTGTGGAAACCATGATACATTTGCTTCAAGATTCTTTAAAGAATAAAGTTTAAAAGAACAGCATTTATTTGATTTGGAATAGTCTTTACTGCCATTTTTGATCAATTTAATGCATCCTTACTGAATTAAAGTACTATTATTATTATTATTATTATTATTATTTTTAAACATATTGACCTTTGGCTACCATTAAAGGGTTAGTTCACTCAAAAATAAAAATGATCCCATAATTTACTCATCTATCATAAAAGTAACCTCTATGGCTCCAAGGAGTTAATAAAGGCCTTCTGAAGTCAAGTGATGCGTGTTTGTGAGAAAGATATCTATACAGTATTTATAACTTTATGAACTACTGTATAATCACTGGCTTCCAGTAACGGCCGTACGCGAGTCGAGTTCTGGCTGAAGAGTGACCTCTGACCCTATATGGATATTTTTCTTACAAAAACACGTGGCTTCGCTTCAGAAGGCATATTTAATATCAGTTCCCATAAACTACCATTATAAAGCTTGTAAGAGCCAGGATATTTTTTAATATAACTTTGATTGTGTTTGGCTGAAAGAAGAAAGTCATATAAAGCTATGATGGCTTGAAGGTGAGTGAATTATGGGATATTTTTGGGTGAACTAACCCTTTAAAAAAAATCCATATCTCGACCATTGAGAAACACATAGCTCAAGCACTCGTTCTACTCATTTTCAACTCTTTAAAACCGATCTTTGCATCATTGCCGCTTCATTTTGGTCTGCACACTGACCTGTCGGTTTTCCAGGTCGATTTTGTTTCCCAGCACAACAAATGGGAAGTTCTCTGGGTCACGTGGACTGGCCTGAATGAGAAACTCGTCCCTCCAGCTGTCCATAGTCTTGAATGTAGTGGGTGCCGTGACATCATAGACCAGCACGCAACAGTCGGCCCCTCGGTAGAAAGCCACGCCGAGAGACTGAAATCTCTCCTGGCCTGCTGTGTCCCAGATCTAAAGCAAGAATATTCAATTAGTCAAGGTAAATAACACTTAATAATACTGTATCACGGTATTATATGCTTTTAGCCGAATTATTTACAATGTAGCAAAGCACCTTCAACCTTATTGCTTAAAGGGATAGTTCACTTTGAAAGAATTTTTTGGTATGTATGCGTCTTTGTTTCCACAGTAGTTTCAATTTTTATATTTTTAGGTCAAACCGTTCTTGTCTGTCAGTCATATAATGAAGGTCTATGGTCACCACCTAAAAGAGCATGCACAGAGAAGTCCAAATTAAACGTAATTAAATGCAAGTACACATTGATGGCCTAAGACACGAAACGAGCGGTTTGTGTGAGAAAACGAACAGTATTTATATCGTTTTACCTCTTGTAACCACATCCACAAAGCGCCTGCGCCCTCAATTCACTTGGACGTGGCTGTGGTTACAAGAGTGTTACTCACACTCACAAGTAACAGCTCAATAACTACAGTAATCTGATTGTCGACGCAATATTAACAAATTCTTTTACAGTAGTACAGTAACTTCCCATGCTTGTTTGGGCATGAGGGATCTACATCACATGACTGGTCAAACAGGTTAGAAAAACATGGCTGGCAACTAAACACAACATGGACTGTGTTTACAGGCAAACCTCCAGGGGACTACCAGACATGTCACTAGATGTGCCTCATTTCTCTCACATGACCATCAGTATGAGTGTAAAACATTGAGATGAGATCCTACCCATAAGCTATGAGTAATTACAGATATTTCATATTTTTGAGATGACTGTATCGCCTATTATGCAGAGCCTTTAACCACATCACATGACCAGAGATGATTATTTGCCATGGGGCATTGTTCACAAAATAATGGTTGTTAAGGAAATGACATCATCATCCTCAGAACACGCTGTTCTCTTATTATTTATGAGCACTATAGCTACAATTACTGCTATTATAGGTAATAAGAGTGAATCTGATTCAAGGAATATTTAGAAAGTATTATTTTACTCCCAAATTATTTATTGAACATTTATAGTTGGCATGAAAGTAATGCGTCACTTTTGGCTTGCACATTTATCTTTACTCTTGTCACATCTCATGGCTTTTATTTTGAAATTAGTCATAGTCATGTTTTCTGGGTTTGTTGTCATGTGATGCCCTGTTTCCATCATGTGATCTGGTCATGAGGTTCCTTTGGTTCTTGTGTTTTCATTGCTTTGTGTGATCAGGTGATTCTCAGTTCTGCCGGGTCATTGGTTTATCGCCTTGATTACTCTATCTTGTTAGTCATTAGCCTTTGTGTGTTTGTCGCACTCATGTTTCCTAAATCTCTTATCTAGCTTTGTTTTAATGTTGTTTTTTGCTCACCAAAGCTGCATTTATTTGATCAAAAATACAGTAAAACAGTAATAATGTTTAAAACAACTGTTAACAACTGTTTTCTATTTTCATAGATTCTAAAATTGTATCAAATCTGAATTTTCAGCATCATTACTCCAGTCTTGTCACATGATCCTTCAGAAATCATTCTAATATGACGATTTGCTGCTTTAGAAACAACATTTATGATTATCATCAATGTTGAAAACAGTTAATATTTTTGTTGAAACAAATTTCTTTGATGAACAGAAAGTTCATAAGAACAATTTTTGAAATTTAAAACTTTTAACATTATAAATGTCTTTAATGTCACTTTTGACCAATTGAATGTATTCTAGCTGAATAGAAGTATTAATTCCTTTAAAATCAACAACACTTCTGAACAGTAGTATAAGTGACATTTAAACTTATGAATGAACTTATGAATAGACTTGAATGCAAACCTGCATGGTGACCAGTCTGTCGTCCACCATCACCTCCTTGGTCAGGAAGTCGGCTCCGATAGTGGCCTTATACTGATTACTGAACTTATTATTCACATACTGGTTCATCAAAGAGGTCTTCCCAACTCTGACAGAGACAAACAAGACAAACGGATTGAGTAGGCAATGCTCAGAAACATGTGCAGCTGAAATCACCATCTTTAAAGGGATACTTCAGGATTTAGCATTAAGCTTTGTATTAGTAGAAAACCTGTAGTATTTTCGAATTACCACGCTCATATCCCCCTGAGACGAGAGATTTATGTATTTTTTATCTGGAAAATTTGGTTTATTGTCCCTCTGGTTTATTGTCCAGAGGCTAAAGACTACAGTCAGTAGTCGGGTCTGTCCCACATGTCCCCAACCCGCCCATAGAGGGAGATCTCACTCACAGAATGAACACATAGTGTCGGCCATCTTTTTTTAGAAGCTAAGCTAGCAGGCTCTTGTTCTGTGGAGAAAGCGGAGTAGTAACTTTAGGGGTTACCATCCTCTTTTTCCCGGACATGTCCGGTCGTCGATGTCCGGGATTCAGCTTCTGCTTTCAGCAGTCGCAGTGTTTATATGTACACCTTTTGTTTCAATCTAACTGAATTTATTCTGATTGGTGAATCTGACTGTAGTGTTTACATGAACGCGTCGCTAAACAAGTGATCGGTTGATGTGTGTTTTAACATTGCTAAGAAAATTCCCGCTCTTCTGTGAGAGATACGAGACCGGTGCGTCTCACAGGTGTCGCTCATCGGTAATCACGCCACCGGCCTCGTGCCGTTCTCCCGCGGCCCTCACTCGCCCCACTCGCCTCAGTAAACATGAAGAACGGCGACTGTAGAGCGCAAAAGCCGAATCCCGGACATTTTGGGCGATCTCGAAACACATTTTCGGGCAGACTCATCACGGAGACTCACTAGTAGCCTAGACTTGTTGTTCAACCTCTGCGCTGTTACCGGTAGGCGTGGCCGGTAGTGCATTCTGGGAGTTGTTGTCTTTCATCCACATAAGCCAAAAATACATTTTCTCAATCTAGAAAGCTCCAAATTCAAAAATAATTGACATTTCTTCTACATAAATGATCCATTTTAAATACACACTCATCTTTCCAGAGGTGAAGTATCCCTTTAAGTCTTGATAATATTCCCCAACAGTAAGATGCGATACTGAAGAGATAGTGTGATTATTAGGTGTGAGCAAATTCCAACGGCACTGATGTTGGAAAGTCAGGGGAATTCCTTGAGTAATGTCAACAGGCAATAATGTTTACGTGTGTACAGCTACTTTAAACATGGGCCAACATAAAGAGGACAAAGTGTCACAACTGATAAGAGCATTTGAGCTCCATGAAGACTGAGGATAACAATCTAAACCTCAGTGATGTTGCATAAACACTTACCCAGAATCCCCTAGGATGATCACTTTGAGCAGGACCTTCTTACGAGAAGCCATGATGTGTATGAGAACGCTGCGAAGCAGAGAAGGATATCAGATATCAGACAGAAGATGCTTTATTTTCCACAGATAAATGCTTGACAGGTACACCTACACTGTAAAAAGTGAAACGGCACGACTGTTATTTTTAAGCCACTATTGTATTTGATTGAAATGCACACTAATTAATATGAAATATGTCTAGTTTACATTTAAATATTGTCATGAGGTCATAGATTTACTGAGGTCATTCACAAAGTCAGATGTTTATCATTTAAATAGATATTGGGATAGTTGTCCCAAAATACAGGTCTGTTACCATTTAGTAAAATTATATATTAATAAGCCTATATATATATATATATATATATATATATATATATCATAGACACAGAGGCTGCGAGAACTAATGGATAAAAATCATAATGGCAATATTTGACAACAACTGCCATTATCGAATGGGTCTGTGTTCTTATATAGATTTGTAACGGTCATTTTTTTTTTATTAAATATTTGTATAGCCTTGAACTTGCTTAATATTTAATGGGGAATTAAACGAACACATAATAAGATTAATTAAAAAAATTGGTTTAAATGTTAGTTGCAGAACTACTATCAAGATTTGCAATTAACGTCATTTTAAAACGGGGAAAGAAGAGCAGTGATCAAACTACTACACCTTCAGTATTCAGTGCTAGAAGTACAAAGAATTAATTCATTGTGATTCATTGAGTCATGTGACGTCACTGCTGTGAAAACATGGCAGTTACATTGTAACAAATGCTTTACTGAAACGAGTATCACAGAAGCGAAATTTGCGAAAATCACACGACCTATAAACCACAAAGTATTTGTTCTGTGACCAAATAGTTTGTCTTACAAGGACATGATGACACAGAAAATCCTAACCGGGCAGAATATGCACGCCATCCATTATGAAATCAATAAGTACAAAAACATACAGGTCTAAAATGATCTAATATTCTATGCACCAATCACCCTGACAGATTTTGTGAGAAAAATATAAACTGTCAGACAATTTACCTTCTTCACGTTTACTGTCGTGGCTGTTTTGATATTCGCTGCGCGTCTGAATCTTCCGGAAATCTATTTGACACCAAAATGAACCAGTGTTTTAATGATCCAGAAGCACATCAGCTGTTGTCGAGCATTATATGTTTCTTCCTAGCACAACAGGACATGACTGTAGAGTCACAAGGGTCTGACGCAAAACATTGATGTTCGAATCGTATTTCAGTCGGTTTCATTTAGTGATTCATTCGAACCGATTCGCAGGGAATTTAGGCGACACGTCAGTTCTAGAGCGTTTAACAACACAACAAACAGTGAAAGTAATACAATTTATTTTACTACAAAATACCGCGTGGAGACTTTCCGAGAACACTTTTGAGCGACATGTCTCAAACTCAAACGAATCAGTGACTTAGTTTCCGAACCGTTTGAAATTTAAATGAACCATCCAGACGAACCGATTCCCTAAAATAAATCGGACTAGCTTAGCTGGAAGAGCCCTCCCTCATTTTCGAATGACTCCAAGATGGCAGGAGGAGAAACGAATTCAACCACTTTAGCGTAGTTTTTGCAGCATTACACGTAATATTGATATATTCTCTCCTTTTAAATAAACGAACGAACAAAAAATCTAAACAAATAATAACAATAACCTGAAAAACTTTCGCGCGGTATCTAAAACTAGCTACAAAATTATAATTATTTCTATGCAGTTCAAAATATAGCGTCCTCTGTCATGTCATGTGATTTGCACATTTTGATCATTTGTGTCTAAATTCCTAAATTCTGACCACACTTCCTCAATTCCTTGCCTAGCCTACTTCCTTAAAAAATCGAATAGGTTCGCAAATATCCTAATAGATTTCCAACCTTTTTGAATGCTAATTAATTAATTCAATAGCATTCCATTAAAACGCTACTGTGATATTAAAGCCAAAAATGAAAAATTGTAGGGGTCTTCTTTGGATGGTAAGGGGCGTGGCGAAGCGGCCATGACATATTGTGATTGATAGGTGTTTCATCCAATGAGCTGACCATACACCCTAACGTCACCAATACATTAGCCAATCGAATGTCTTGTAGCTGACTCCAGACCCTGCTCCAGACCCATCTTTGACAGCCAACGTAAGGGCGCAGAAAAGCGAAACCTCAAAACATGTCGGTCTTCCAGTGACTGTACGTTGTATTTCCCACATTCCCAGCATGTCAGTGAGCGTTTAGGTTTAAACGTTGTGACTGTGTAATTTTGTAAAAGGGTCGACACACGGTAAGGATATTATTCGTTTTTCCTATCATGTTAACCTTGTTCTGCTGTCAGCAGCATCACACCCTGCACGGCTCATGTCGTGCAATATTCAGTATAACTGCAAATTAATAAAGTAGTTGCATGAATGGGTTGTGCAGGCTAGTGCTCTTTATTAATGTAAAACGCACGTAAATATGTGACATCAATCGACAGCAATATCTTCTATCCAGCAATATCAGTTATTTATATATTTACACATTTATTTATATGTATTTACACACACACACACACACACACACACACATGTGTATCTGTGTCTGTAAGTACTATATATATATATATATATATGTATGTATATATTAGGGCCGTGCAAAAATTAATTGCGATTAATCACATCCAAAATAAAAGTCTGTGTTTACATAATATATTTGTGTGTGCTGTATATAATTATTTTGTATATATAAATACACACACATGCATGTATATATTTAAGAAAATGTGTTATTCATTTATAAAATATTTATATTTATATAATATAGATTATGTATTTATAAATATATACAGAATTTAAGCGCAAATAATTCTTAAATATATACATGCATGCATAGGTATTTATATATACAAAATAATTATATACAGCACACACAAATATATAATGTAAACACAGACTTTTATTTTGGATGCGATTAATCGCAATTAACTTTTGCACAGCCCTAGTATATAGACCATTTCACAAGATGTAAACAACACTGGTCCAGAAGCACTTCCTGTTTCAGTTTTTTAACACTACATAAAAGCTGGGATAAAATACAACCTACAGAACATTTAAAACTGAATCAAAAAGTTAAACGAACATCTTTAAGATGTTTTCTTTACATGTGAAATAAAGAAAACAATTACAAACTGAAACAGGAAGTGCTTCTGGACCAGTGTTGTTTACATCTTGTGAAATGGTCTATATATATATATATATGTATATGTGTGTGTGTATGAATTATATCAATATAGGATTGACAGATATTGCTGTAGTTATTCAATGTAGTTATATACATAGCAGCTTTACACTAAGGCATCGATTCTTCTTTCTCTTGCAGAGATGGAAACTCTTATTCCCATCATTAACAGACTGCAGGAGGTTTTCCTCACAGTTGGAGCCGAGATCATCCAGCTTCCTCAGATCGTAGTCGTGGGATCACAGGTGAGTCATTAATCTAACAGTGAATGGTTTGAGTTTGCATGTTTATGCATTGAAACCTTCACTACGTAAGGTATGATCTCTGATTTGTGATGGTACATGATGCAAGGTGGCCGACATGTAGTTTCCCTGTGAAGTCAATTATATGCTCTGTTTGTCTCTCTGTTTAAATCTACAGAGCAGTGGAAAGAGCTCAGTATTGGAGAGTTTGGTTGGACGAGATTTCTTGCCCCGAGGTTCAGGAATAGTGACGCGACGCCCTCTGGTGTTACAGCTGGTGAATGTGCCATCGCTGGAGGAGAGGCGCAAGCAAGACAACGGTAACCGCTTACAAATGTGTCTCTTTAAGAGCTGTTTTCTCTATACAACATATCTCTTGGTTTTATGAGAAAGTTTTAAATATATTGGAAAAAAAGAGTATTTCACACAAGATCACGTATAGCACACATGCACTTGCTTTGCATGCTTTAATATAGAAGTCAGTCAAATTTATTGTCAATGTTCTTAAAGGAAAAAAAAAACATTTAAGAAATGTTCAGGGTTCAGTATAAGACACTTCATGAGAATAAATGCTAAAATACACACTATTTTAAAAGTGTAGTCGTAATATCTAAACATTTAGGCTAACGCTGATTGGTAGTTACACTGCTGTTCAAACTCTTTTTATAATGCATTTTTTAATAAACAATACAGTAAAAAAAACATAATGTTGTGAAATATTATTGCAATTGAATGTTTTAAAAATGTAATTTATGCTGCATTTTCAGCATCAATACTCATTGTGATGTACCACATTTGGGGCTTAAGAAATATTTATTAATATTATCAATGTTTAAAACATTTGTGCTGCTTCATAATTTTGTGGAAACTGATGCATAATTTGATGAATTAAAAGTTCAAAAGGACAGCATTTATTTAAAATATACATCTTTGTAAAATTATAAATGGCTTTTACTTTTAATTTTGATAAATTCCAGAAAATAGTTGTTAAATTTGCTACATTTAATAAAATGATTTAGACACTAGTGAATATTTTTTTTAATAGATTTATATATAATTAATAACCTTAATGAAAATGAGAGCTTCATATTTCTTATATTTGTGTATCATATTTCTTGTCCTATTGGTCCATTTTAAGTGCGTTACTGTAAATGTGTTTTTTGCTCTTTTTTTAGTAGCTTAACTTAGTACTGAACCTGGAACATTCAATTAAATGTGTCATGATCTTCGCGTAAGCGACAGTTTTATATGGATAATGTTTTCAAAACACTAACTCATGTGCAATATTGAGTGGGCGTTGATATTGAGTGACTGTTTCCAGTGCAATGACGTTAGCCAATCACAACAGTGGCCGTTTACTGACAAGCCTTAAAGGAACCGCCTCTTAAAAACAGACTGACAGGTTGAAAATACTCGTTTTTTTACATAAATTTGTTTTTGTGTGCAAAAATGCTATTAATATTATAAGTGAACCTCAAGGAACATTACAATAATAAAAAACGCCATGTCACGACCCTTTTAACGTCTGCTCACTATGACGTGTTCTGATCGTTCTGTGAATTTGTTTCTAATCCGCTTACAGTAACACTCTCTCTGCTGTCCTTTCTTTACTTTCTCAGGAAATGGGGCTAAACAAAACTCTCAAAACACCTATCCAGGTCTCTGTTTTTCAACACTTGTTCGTCTGCATGATCTCGCTGTCCTGGTGTGGTTCCCATCCCACAGCACTTGCGTCATCTTCTGTTTTGTAAATGTCATTCTTTATAACCTAGATTGTTTTCCCATCGGTTGAGTTTTTTAAGTGAAAAACTGGTATTGTTTTTACTGCTATTGTTTCCACTCTGAGACTAGAGCAAATGCACGTTTGGTCTCCAATCTCTCTGTTGTGTACTCATGTATCCGGCCACTGTAACATTTCTGGTTGAATATTGATTTTACAATTTGTTCACTTCAGTTCTCTTTGCTGTGAAAGCCTGTAAAATGCTTTTTTTTTTCTGCCGAGGTCTTTTATGGGAAGAGGTTTTCTGCAGATTCAGTGTCATTAATATTGATTTGTATTGTCTTGTGTTCTTGTTATTCTCTCTCTCATTCTGTCTCATTATATCTTCTAAAGGTATCAAAGCAGAGGAATGGGGCACATTCCTTCACTGCAAAAACCAGGTAATTACAAAAGTTGATCTTATCCTATTCAAATGCTAGTGTCTATGATTGCCGATATTTTATTATACTAATGTTATGTACACTCACCCAAAGGATTATTAGGAACACCATACTAATACTGTGTTTGACCCCCTTAATTCTACGTGGCATTGATTCAACAAGGTGCTGAAAGCATTCTTTAGAAATGTTGGCCCATAATGATAGGATAGCATTTTACAGTTGTTGGAGATTTGTGGGATGCACATCCAGGACACGAATCTCCCGTTCCACCACATCCCAAAGATGCTCTATTGGGTTGAGATCTGGTGACTGTGGGGGTCATTTTAGTACAGTCAACTCATTGTCATGTTCAAGAAACCAATTTGAAATGATTCGAGCTTTGTGACATGGTGCATTATCCTGCTGGAAGTAGCTATCAGAGGATGGGGACATGGTGGCCATAAAGGGATGGACATGGTCAGAAACAATGCTCAGGTAGGCCGTGGCATTTAAACGGTGACCAATTGGCACTAAGGAGCCTAAAGTGTGCCAAGAAAACATCCCCCACACCATTACACCACCACCACCAGCCTGCACAGTGGTAACAAGGCATGATGGATCCATGTTCTCATTCTGTTTACGCCAAATTCTGACTCTTCCATGTGAATGTCTCAACAGAAATCGAGACTCTTTAGACCGGGCAACATTTTACCAGTTTTCAACTGTACAATTTTGGCCTCTTTTTCCTATTTGTAGTGGAGATGAGTGGTACCCGGTGGGGTCTTCTGCTGTTGTAGGCCATCCGCCTCAAGGTTGTGCGTGTTGTGGCTTCACAAATGCTTTGCTGCATACCTCGGTTGTAACGAGTGGTTATTTCAGTCAAAGTTGCTCTTCTATCAGCTTGAATCAGTCGGCCCATTCTCCTCTGACCTCGAGCATCAACAAGGCATTTTCGCCCACAGGACTGCCGCATAACTGGATGTTTTTCCCTTTTCACATCATTCTTTGTAAACCCTAGAAATGGTTGTGCGTGAAAATCCCAGTAACTGAGCAGATCGGCCCGTCTGGCACCAACAACCATGCCATGCTCAAAATTGCTTAAATCACCTTTCTTTTCCATTCTGACATTCAGTTTGGAGTTCAGGAGATTGTCTTGACCAGGACCACACCCCTAAATGCATTGAAGCAACTGCCATGTCATTGGTTGATTAGATAATTGCATTAATGGGAAATTGAACAGGTGTTCCTAATAATCCTTTAGTATATAATCGTATGTTAAGTTTATATAAATATGGTGCTAATAATACATTAAAGTTACTATATCAGAAAGTAATTAAAAGACACGTTGTTGTCATACGTGATGCACGCAAACAGCAGATGACCTTCTGTAATGCCTATCTAGAGAACACACCGTTAGTCCAGTCTGAATCGGTGCATGAAATCACAGAGATTGGGTGAGTTCATGTAACTCAAACATTGTATAGAAAACTAGTCTCGTCAATAGGGCTTAAGTTTATACAAAGGGTCATTCAGATCACTTTCAGATCAAGCTTATCACATCGATTCTTTAAAGATGCTGTTTTTTCTTTGCTCAGATTTTCACCGATTTCAGTGAAATCCGGAAAGAGATTGAGGATGAAACGGATCGCAATACCGAAAATAAGGTGCAGTGGAAGCATGGCACTCATCAGTGTTTCATTCAGTTTGACTTGCACACACACTTGTCGTATGTTGTGGAAATTTTAATCTCACATGTATTAATTGTTCTCCCTTATCAAGAGTGGAGCTAGGCACCAGAGGACCGGCCGGGTCAGGGGTCATCTTAGACTGGGAGGGGTTGAGGGGGTTAGTAAATCTAACCTGGCATCATGAATCCTATAACTTTGTGGAAATTTACAGAGAAGGCTCGGCTTGCAGTAAATAACCTTGGGGAGGGCTATTTAGTCTTCACCCCGGCCTGTGTTCTGGGCGTCACTCCACTTCGCAGTGATCTGTGTTGGTGATTGAGCCTTATTGTTCTTGCAAGAATAATAAACCTTTTCCTTTATTAATTTGACTCAGAGTGTCTCTTACGAAGTGATGTCTGTTTATTGAATTTTTGCCTTAACAATTGGTGTCAGAAGAATGGGATTCCTTGGAAGTGCCTTCTGGACCTGAGAGCGGACGGTGTTTGGCCACCTGGACTGAGCAGTTCCAGCTCTACCTCGTAAGCTTGAGAGAGAGGGGCCGACCGCTATCAGGCCCAGGAGAGGCTCCACTGGAATCAAAAAGAACCCGAGGCACAGAGAAAAGACATCCTGGTAAGACACAGCTAAATTCATTTTATATTGGGTATATAATTGAGAGGAACTGTACTGGCTGGGGTCTATTTCGGTGGTTGCGAATAAGAGAGTAGTCCAAGATTAATTGAGACCTGTTGGCAGGTCAAGAAATTTCATATGGACACTGAGTTTTCGTAAATTGCGAATAAGAGAGTAGTCCAAGATTAATTGAGACCTGTTGTCAGGTCAAGAAATTTCATATGGACACTGAGTTTTCGTAAATCTGAAATTAATTGACATTTGTCAGGTCAGAGATTTCGCCCAGATTACGGTCCGAGATCACTTGAGAGCTGAAAGCAGGTCAAGAGATTTCAGGTGGGCTCTAATCTGTGGGGTAATTGAAGATCTGCAGCGGGGTCAAAAGATTTCCAGTAGATAAAGCGCTGGTGCACCTTGACCGATCTTGGGTTAAGAGATCGGATCTGTTGGAGACGTCCGACAGATTATTAGACGCGTCGAAGGAAAATCCACAGGGGAAATAGAAACAGCCAGTATGGGGAAATCTCAGAGCAAGCTTGCCAGATATGATACACCAGTGTTTTGGTCAAATGAGAAAACATTATGGGCAGAAGTGTGTGGATATAGGAAAATTGATAAAGTATCATGATTTTCCCAGTGAGGGAACACTGAGCGCTACCAGACTAAAGTAGTGAAGGAATCAGTGGAACAGGACAGCAAAAAGCAAACAAGCTGTTGTGGCTGTGTTCATCATGAATGTAAAAATGTGAACAGACAGTGGACATTTGGCTTAAGGAAGCTGGTAGAGAGAAAAGAAAATTCTGAAAGAATTCATGGAACTATTTATGAGCGACTGTTAAGTCAGGTTAAGTTGAACTTATATGTATGATTAACAGTTATATAAAGATAAGGAATGTTTCATTAAGCAGAATGGGGAACAATTTTATATTTTAGTGGTAAAATAATGATTGAAATTATGTTTAATTTTGGTTTGACAACCATTGTTTGAACCTAAAGGGTCCAGCTATGCTGGGAGTACAGTCAAGAAACTTTGTGAAAACAACTTAGAATATTTTGAGCATTTCGATGCGGCTTATGAAAATTAATGTTCTGTCAATAATAATGAAGAAGATTATGATTGGGCTATTGTGATTAAATCCGCCACTGGTGGACTGTAAAAGAATACAGAGAACTGCTTATCAGTGGCTCTGTGTGCATTCCTGAATGGGTCACACACTGCTTCAAGTGTGTGCAGTAAGTTGGAGCGGATAGAGAGTGTTTTAATTGTGGTCAGGAGAATCATTTAACACGTAACTGTAAATGCCCACAGAGAATGTGTTTTAAAATGTGATAACAGACAACACATTTCTGGTATTAATGTGGGTTTGGAAGTAGATCCGTGTTTAAATGACGACATTACAATTTTTTGTCTGAGAAATTAAAGATAAAAACAAGGTCAAAAGATTGAAGTTTTAAAGTGAATCCTTTTAAAGAAAGGATCTATAATAGTAATTTTTAAAAGTGAATTGATGAATAGGCCTACAGTTTGATGTAAAATGAATGACTCCAACAAATGTAAGTTGCAAAATATATCAAAGTAACTAAAAGGATGAATGTGTTTTAATTAAACATTTTAAAAAGGTTTTAGATGATATAGAGAGACTAATCGCACAGATGATTTACAATAACTGCAAAAGTATCACAAGCAGAGAGTGCTTGCCTCGTCAAAGTTAGAGTGAATCCTAATTGGAGATTGATAAACTCCAAGAGAAAACTTAAGTCAAATATTAAACTATGGTTGAACTCGACGATTAAAATTGAGAAATAAGAAATGTTATTAAGAACAAGAATAATTATTTTTATTTAAAATTAAATAAGCAGAAGCAGTACTGGATTAGCAGTTGATAAATGCTGATTAAACAAACAGCTTGAAGAGTTGACCATGAAAGAACTAGAAGCTGAGGTTTAGCTTTCAAAAAGATAAGTTTGTTTTGGCTGTAATGAAACAGTTTGCTTATCTGAATCTGATGTGTACTGTGGCTGAAAACTGCCAGTGCAACAGAGACTCAATCTGAGAGGAAATTAGTAATGCTTAAATTCCCTGATGTGGGCAAAAGACAAATGTAAATAATGTTTATTTGAAACCGTATGTAATTTCTGGCAAAGATGCCTTAAGTTGGAATAGAGTTAAACGATGGGATAAAGTTTGATGTTAGAAGTTTATGAGCAAGCAGTACCAGTACTGAATCCCTCAGTCTCTCTCTCATTCAATGTCAGCTAAAGATGTTATCTGAGCCTGTGTCATTAGTGATAATAAGCTATTTGTATTAAAACACAGTGTTTCAGTTGAAGATCATAGACACAGAGATGTTAAAAGAAATCATTGCCATTCAGAGGCAATTTGTATTTTAAATGTTTTAAAAGCAAAACTGAAGGACTTTCAAGAAGTCATTAAAATAATAATAGACGAAACTAGATACATCTTTGACTAGGTTGTGAACCAATAACTTATTTGTCTGAAAATCTTAGTCCCCACCATGAAACGGGGGCGGGGCCGATGGCTCCGCCTACAGATGTAGTGCACTGAATGTACGGTTGTGATCTAAATCCACTGAGTAGCTAGTTGCTACTTTTAAGATGGTTAATGGATTTAAGTGATTGAATACTGTTGTTATTAACCCGTCTCCCTGTGTTACAACTATTAGGAAATCCGAATGGCCCTGGTGACTCTCGAATATTTTTCCTAAGCTCCAGAAACAACAGATTTTGTTTGAAGAAAACGGTTTTGAGAAAATGGCGGTTACCATGTGTGCACGAGTGGTCATCTCGATGACGGGTAAGACCTTCTTTGGCCAAATAGGAGGCAACCTAAGGCAGGGGGATCACGCAGACACTGGGCATCTCCTGATGGAGGTGTTTATGTGAGGTTGGGTATGAGAGTGGACGGGTGTCTGCGAGGCCAACAGCATCCTGTATCGTTAGGGGGGATGGAGCTGTGAGGAGTCACGGCAGTCTGCCCCAGGAACGTAAGTCCCTCTATCCCACTCACCAGAAACCGCATTCACTGCATGGCTTGTTTCTCATTGTGACAAGCTCTATGTATGCCAGGGGACCACACCCTGATGGAGATTATAGATAAAGAGCTAAGAGGAATTGGGCTTTCAGGGTTCAGTCAGGGCCATGAAGTGATTCCCATTTGTTGTTGTGGAGACAGTAACAAAACTTTTTGATGTCGGTCGCCCTATGGGCAAGGAAAATTATAGTGTTGATTTAGAACTAATATGTCTAACATAATTTTGACTCCTGGAGGTCGTTAGACATGGTGGTGACTAAAGATGAAGACAGCTTTTGTAGATTTAAGAAGAGTATAGATAACAAAGGTGAATGGTCAAAGGATATTGTAATGAGTTTAAATGTTGTCTAAGTTACAGTCTTAGGAGGCTGTTGAAAAGACTATTTTGTTATAGTGAGAGAGACTTGAGTGGAGGAAGGGATGGAAACTGTGTCTGTCTTTCTGTTTTGGCCTGCTAAAGAAAGCTTAAACAAAATAATGTTAATGAACCAAAACAATCCAGCTGACTGTCTAAAAGTAAATGAATAATGAACAGACATGCTTTGAAAGATGGTTTAGAAACCATGTAAATTTAGGTAAAGGTTACAAGAAAATGTAAAGTTTAAAATCTTATTCGAAAGATTTGAATATGAAAATATGCAGTTCATAGTCAGGTATGAGTGTGTGTGTGTGTTTAATAGTGAAAGCATTTTATGCTTTTGTGAGTTTTATCATCACAGATGGGCCAAGGCAAATGACAAACTTTAAAGGAAAATTCTGACGATCTTTAAGTTGATTGGTCATCAAGCTCTGTCTAGCAGTAATAGTTTTGTCATTCATGATGTAGTTGTAAATTGGAATTGTGAATTTGTTGACGGACGTCTGTCGGGTCTGTCAGGGGTTGAGATCAACGAAAAGGGTGTAGATTTGACGGCAACAACAAAGAAAAATGGCTAAGTTAATATCGAATTATTAAGAGAGTCCTTAACAATTATGAACTGAGGGGGACATGTTTGACTGACATAGACTAAGTCTGTACAGCACGACCTGACCTGATAGAAACAATTGATGACTTTGGAAATGTTTGTAGATAACTGACTTGAGAGACCAAACAACAGGCCTGAAAAGCAGGATTCGCTGTGAGACTCAGGGCCGTTGCCCTTCAAAAAACTTCGATAAGAAGGTGAGATTGGGCCTTTAAGTAATATTTTTGTTTCAGAGGCAGAAAAAGATGTCTGGGCGAAAATTGGTTGAAGGATGCTGTTTGGGTTAGTGTTGATTGGAGAATTAGATTAATTTAAATTGATGCATGAGCTGGGTCATGCATCAAAAGGGGGATGGTAACAATTGCCAAAATATGGGTTTACTGAGGGGTTCAAATTTGCTGAAAGCCATTGCACAGGTGGGGCAATGTTGCTGTCTATAAGTGGGCTGCACACGCTGATAACACAATTTCAGGACTGTTTAACAGGAGACGCCAGGGCAGAGGCAGCAGCGAAGGCCATGGCAGCACAACAGACAAAGGAAACTACATGTATCTGAAAATAACCTCGACATTTGTTTTTCTCTACAGATCATGCAGACTTTTAAGACATGAGCAGAATGTGTCTAATAAAATAATGGCTAGGGATGAATTTGGCTAACTACCCTGGCCTGGGTTATTAGTGTGACGGAACGGTGTCACACCTGCGCAGCGCATAACTAAGATTTTCCTTTTACAGAATCTCAGGATGGATTGCAGCAAACAGAACTGATTCTGTTTCAAATGTATAAACGTTATGTTGAGGACATGAGTTGAATGTTTCCCAGAGGAAAAAAGGACTCTGAATGATATTAAGATCCAGTGATAATGTTTCAGGTTATTGATTCCACAGGTCACATTAAAAGGGGAAGACCGGCCAGACAAGCAGATGAGTTAATAGATGTTGTCACTAACAAGAATAGTTAAGGTCTCTGTTCGCAGGTGAAAGCAGGCAAGAAATGGTTCACTCCAGTGGGGGTGCGTGAATTAAGGGAAACCTTGAAAGGATCAGAGAATGTGACAACTGGGTCCAAGCCTCTCACCTTAAGACAACACCAGCAGGCCTCAACCATCCAATAGAGCATAAAGTGAGGGGTCAGAGGCTAGTGCTAGTAACAGCCTCCCTCCCGACGTGGGAAGACCATTGCGACGGCACGCAAAGTGTCACCCTGGTGAACAAGGAAAGTCCATGGGGCGAACGAGATGATCAACACACCTGGAGGAACCACCTGCCAACTGATGGTTTAAGTTTAACAGGAGAATCTGTTTCTGCGATGATTTTGATAATTTTGTTTGAATCAAACTAAGTATTGATTTGATTGGTGCAAAATATAGGAAATGTATTGATCGATGTGTCTGTACTAGAGATATTAGAGTTCATTTTGAACAACTAATTTGGTTACAAGAAAGGATAAAATTATAAGTCTTATCTGGTAAGATTTGTTAAACGGCATTCAATAGGGCTTACTAAATTGAATTAGAAGTCTTGTTTTAACATTGCAGACTATAGTGACAACATAACTGGTGGATTGAACACATGAGACAGGTGGTAAAGGAGCCTGAACATGCTAATGGGGCATGGGTTGGGTGGTTCATGTCTATGTGGGGAGGATGGGTGTACTGGATAATCCAGACGGTACTGCCAATTGTAGCGATATAGGACTGCTGCATTTTGGTGTATTTTAATATCATATTGGAACAATTATGGGGTTTTGTTAGTTGTTTTTCTTGCTAATCTATAACCTATGTCTTATATATTTGGAGTGACTGAGGGTCTGATTTTTATCAGGAGTGCAATAACAGTGATTATTCATTTAGCCCGGCTTCAAATAAAATGCTTTACTTGCTTGCTAGACAATTAATGGAGCTTTACTCCGCAAAAACAGCCTTAAGCTTTCTTCTTTTACAAATACTATTTTTCCCACCAGATGTTTAAGCAGAGTGATCATTTATGCGAAAATCAATTGAAGGGTATAAATGTGATGTTGGGCTTAAAATTTGTCTTTGTTTATTATTATGATTATGGGTAACCTAATGATAAACAGGGGGGAATTGTTGTGGAAATTTTAATCTCACATGTATTAATTGTTCTCCCTTATCAAGAGTGGAGCTAGGCACCAGAGGACCGGCCGGGTCAGGGGTCATCTTAGACTGGGAGGGGTTGAGGGGGTTAGTAAATCTAACCTGGCATCATGAATCCTATAACTTTGTGGAAATTTACAGAGAAGGCTCGGCTTGCAGTAAATAACCTTGGGGAGGGCTATTTAGTCTTCACCCCGGCCTGTGTTCTGGGCGTCACTCCACTTCGCAGTGATCTGTGTTGGTGATTGAGCCTTATTGTTCTTGCAAGAATAATAAACCTTTTCCTTTATTAATTTGACTCAGAGTGTCTCTTACGAAGTGATGTCTGTTTATTGAATTTTTGCCTTAACACGTACCATTTGAAGGCCTGGATTTTAATGATCTCATTTAGTTGTCCTCTTTTTCCTCCTTAGGGCATCAGTCCAGAGCCCATTTACCTAAAGATCTATTCCCCAAACGTGCTCAGTCTGACGTTGGTCGACTTGCCTGGGATCACTAAGGTAACAACAATGACTGTGCATGTTATTTTGCCATGTAATGTAATGCAAACAAGCTCATTTGCTTTAGGATAGAAGAGAAGTATCATATTCTATTTTATCTCTTAAAATTTTAAACATGTTATTTTAGTACAATAAATTGTTTAAGAAATAAACTATATTAGCCCACGATACTACAATTCTTACAGTAATATCAATACAGAAAAAAAACAATAATTATTGAATTGCATAAAGTTGTAAGGAAGTAGGTTAAGTAAGTAGGTAAGTAAAGTTTATTTATAGAGTGCTTTTCACAAATAAAATCACAAAGTGCTTTACAAAGTGTAACCACAATAATGATTCAGTATACAATCAATAAAAAATTACATAAATTAAAATAGCCCCAAATGACCCAGTCAACTAAAAGCTTGTTTAAATAATAATGTCTTAAGATGCCTTTTAATTAAAGGAATCGACAGAGTCGGCCACATGGAGGGACAAAGGCAAGGCGTTTCATTAATATTATTTTCACAAGGATACAGATGCTGTGCACATTATGTCAGTAGGTGATTAAAAAACATGGATGAATGACAAAATAAAAAGTATGATACCCTCGATAGTACTAAAAAGAGTTATCAAAAGCGCAGTATACTGCGAAAGAGAATTTAATTCGGTACTTGACCGATGTCAGACTGCCTGTGGTTTTCTATGCGGGCGAGTACTGTTTTTTTTTTCAGTTTTTTTTTCTAGGATTTAAATGTGCGTCTTGGCATTAATGTCTGTGAGTATTTGGGACCTTGTCAGTATTGTTTGTTTGTTTGTTTATTTACTTTATTTATACCCGTAGGTAAATTTGTTTTACAGTGCAATGAGATACTGTGGCATCCAGTACAAAAAAAAAAAAAAAAAAAAACACAGGACACTACTGGTACACTACACATAAAAAAAAAAAAAAATACTCTTATTGAAGTGCTCTCATAAAAGAAGTGCTCTCAAGAGCATTTCATCTCTTTAAATATCATAAAATATTAAGACTCCTAGTACGTATTATCTGAAAAACACCTCTGCAATTTGTTAAGCATATCAATCGCATTAGGTACGAAGCTGCTTTTATATCTTTTCGTTCTGCACCTAGGGACTTTATACCTCCTCGCAGACGGTAGTAACTGAAACTCATTTCGCAGAGGGTGAGAGTCATCTTTTAAAATTGAGGTCCTAAAATGACAGCAACCTAATATACCTGCTCCTGTCAGTGTCTTTAATCAAACAACAACAGGAAAACCTCAACTTAAATATGTATGTTGGTATTTATTTGTCCTATTGTCTTTAGTTTTTTTGTGCTTATTTTTTGCCTATAATATTTTGGCCATATTACCCACCCTAAGTGATCATGTTATTAAAGGGTTAGTTCACCCAAAAATGAAAATTCTGTCAGTATTTACTCACCCTCATGTTGTTCCAAACCTCTATGTGTTTATTTGTTTTGCTGAACACAAAGGAAGATATTTGGAAGAATGTTTTAATCAAACAGATCTCATTCCCCATTGACCACCATAGTAGGAAAAAATGCAATACAAGTCAATGGGGAATGAGATCTGTTTGATTAAAACATTCTTCCAAATATCTTCCTTTGTGTTCAGCAAAACAAATAAACACATAGAGGATTGGAACAACTTGAGGGTGAGTAAATGATGATAGAATTTTCATTTTTGGGTGAACTAACCCTTTAAAGCTAAATAGTACACCGTTAGACTAGCCCAACTAGCTATATAATACGTAATAACACCTTAGTAAGGCTGACAGAAAACAGCGTGCAAGTTCCAGTCTTCTTGTGCTTGATATTTAAACGGACAGGCTCTTAATGTTTGCGCTCGTGAAAAAACAAACATCCCCGCCCCCACACTCACATCTACACACACGTTAAATACACAGTAACGATTATCGTCCTGTTCACATCGGCCCTATTTTGACATCGGAACGATGCCGATATGTAAAAAAATTGACCATATCGGCCGATATTATATCGGTGCCCGATATATCGTGCACAACTATGAATCAGCAATACTGTATAAATAATATAGGCTACCTAAGCCTGTGAGCAAATATAATAGGATTGGCTGATATCTAGAGATCTAATCCCTAAATCAAAGTTTCACGATAGGGAAATATTCTGCTCAGTCTCCACAGATAATAGCACAGGTTTTTTGAAAACGCTGGTACTCTTGAAGTTTAGCGGTCTCCAGTGTGATATTCTGTTTAAAGAAATGTGTAACACAGCAAGTCTGTGTTCAATCATAATGAGGTTTGTGTAATTTTCTGCTGTCAAATCTATGAGCAAAATTTCTGTGATTAATTTTAATAAATCCAAATATCTCGACTGTAACGTCTCCGTTTGGGATTCCCTAATAAATAGAACAGAAGTTTTGATCATGATCATCTGCACATGTTGAAATAGTTGGTATATTACTATGCTTCAGCTTTTATTTTATTAGCTTTCATCAGTGGTGAGAGTGTTAATTGAATTGTATAAAATTGTATGAAAATGTATTACCATTGTGACTTTGTTGCTGATACACAACCCTAATTTAAGTAATTGTACAGTAAAATTGTGGCAAACACCATTGCTCTCCATCCTGTACTTCACTCTCCAGTCCAGTAGGTGGCAGAAATGCAGCATCTAGTGGTGGTTGGAAAACCAATGGAAAAGGTGCATTTCTGTATTAGGTGCGACCACATTTGGGACACTTTGATGAAAAAAAAAATACATTGTGATGTATGAAGCACAACTCAGAAGTCACTTTCAAACCAAAACATTGAACCCATTGCAAATTCTTGTTTGGGGAAATCACTCTTTCACTCTTGTCTGGGGAAATCACTCTTTTATTATTTATTTATTTATTTTTATGTTCATTAATCTTGAGGATGTAAGTTCTGTACAAATTGAGATATGCTAAGTTGTAATGATGCGAAAGACATTAATATGTGTCTATACTGTATTTTGTATTTTTGTTCTGGGTGTGTGTGTATTATATGTTGGTAAAAAGTTAATAAATATATTGAAAAAAAAGAATTCCCATTTCCCAATCTCGTGGATTCCTATTGAAATATCTGGATTTCCCAGTAAAATTGTAAATATGTCTGCGATTTTTAAAGATAAAATAGCTGAAATCCATTCATTCATTCAATGATATGATCTTTTTTTTGTGTAGGTCCCGGTTGGGGACCAGCCTGAAGATATCGAGACTCAAGTCCAAGAGATGATTTTGTCCTACATCTCCAACCCCAACTCTCTCATCCTGTGTGTATCTCCCGCCAACTCTGACCTCGCCACATCTGATGCCCTTAAACTGGCACGTGACGTGGACCCAGATGGTGAGCGACATGCAGAGAAGTCCAGATGTCATTATTGCTCCATTGAATGGCATTGTGGGAAGGGAATGTACTCATCGTCTGTTGCGCTCAGGTCACAGGACGCTGCTTGTCGTGAGTAAGCTGGATTTGATGGACGCTGGGACAGATGCTCTGGAGGTGCTGCTGGGCCGCGTCATACCAGTCAGACTGGGCATTATTGGTGTGGTTAACAGGTCAGTGGCTTTAAACATTTGTTGAAAACGCAAACAATCATTTTTTTATTTTCCCCAAGGCAAATATGAATCAACCAAATGACTCGGAAAAAGATTTGTTCATTTTGATGAACGAGTTTGAACAGGAGAGTCATGGGTTCAGTAGGTTAAGGTTATGTTTAGAGATGGGTTCAGGGTTAGTACTTAGTTATTACCCAGTTATTGTAATTACTATAATACAGTAAATACATCATATCTACATGGGGAACAGGACTGTAAAATAAAGTGCTACCAACATTTCGTATTTTTATCAGTAATGAAAACAGGTGTGCTGCTTAATATTTTTATGAAAACCGTGATACATTTGATTTTTTTTTTCCAGGATTCTTTGATGAATAGAAAAATCAAAGTTACAGTAATCAAATGCAACTTTGACAGTAATAAAAATGTTACTGTAACACTTTACTTGAAGGGGTGTGCATAAGACTGACATGACACCTTCATAACCATGACATGACATATATCTTGAATATGAAGTTTATGACAACTGTCATTAAGTGTCTTTTGCTCAATAATAAGATTTTGAATGCAAATATGACATTGTTTAAGATGTCTTTGTTATGACATCTTGACATAAAATGAAGTTAAACTGTAATGTGGTTGGCTTTGACATTGGCTGTCATGAGGTCATTATAACTGTGTCATGAATATTTTTCTTGACCTCAACTACAGTGGTACTGATTGACTTTGTCATTAAAGTGTTATAATGGCTTCATGACAGCCAATGTCAAACCCAACCACATGACAGTTTAATGTAATGTTAACCAATAAAGCTTCTTAAGTTTGATCATTAATCTGCTATGTCATGTTTATGACAGGTTGTGTTGTCTTAGTAATGTCAAGTTGTCATGACAAAGACACTGACAGGTTATGATGTATTGGTTTATGTCAAGGTGTCATAACAAAGACATCTCAAACAATGTCATATTTGCATTAAAAATGTCATAACTGAGCGAATGACACTTAAAGGATTAGTTCACTTTTGAAAATACTTTTGCTGATAATTTACTCACCCCCATGTCATCCAAGATATCCATGTCTTTCTTTCCTCAGTCGAAAAGAAATTAAGGTTTTTGATGAAAACATTCCAGGATTTTTCTCCATATAATGGACTTCAATGGGAACCAGACGGTCCAAGGTCCAAAAGACAGTTAATAACAGTTTCAGATGCAGCTTCAAATGTCTTTAAACGACACCAGACGATGAATAAGGGTCTTATCATGCGAAACGATCGGTTATTTCAAAACTTATTCCAAAAATGTAACTTTTCTAAGGACAAATGCTAGCCTTGCTCTATTCTCTGAGGCGCGTTTGTAACGTCACGTAATACGTAATTACGTTCAAAAGGTCACGGGCGACGTAGCCAGAAGTACAGAGTCTGTGTTTACAAGTTGAACGCATAGGTTGAACGTGCAAAAAAAAACTCAAACGCCGTTTACAAAAAAGGAATTAAAAGGAAAAACAACGATGTCGGACGATTTTGATTCTGTACTTCCGGCTACGTCGCCCGTGACCTTTTGAACGTAATTACGTATTACGTGACGTTACAAACGCGCCTCAGAGAATAGAGCAAGGCTAGCATTTGTCCTTAGAAAAGTTACATTTTTGGAATAAGTTTTGAAATAACCGATCGTTTCGCATGATAAGACCCTTATTCATCGTCTGGTGTCGTTTAAAGACATTTGAAGCTGCATCTGAAACTGTTATTAACTGTCTTTTGGACCTTGGACCGTCTGGTTCCCATTGAAGTCCATTATATGGAGAAAAATCCTGGAATGTTTTCATCAAAAACCTTAATTTCTTTTCGACTGAGGAAAGAAAGACATGGATATCTTGGATGACATGGGGGTGAGTAAATTATCAGCAAAAGTATTTTCAAAAGTGAACTAATCCTTTAAGTGTCATTCGCTCAGTTATGACATTTTTAATGCAAATATGACATTGTTTGAGATGTCTTTGTTATGACACCTTGACATAAACCAATACATCATAACCTGTCAGTGTCTTTGTCATGACAACTTGACATTACTAAGACAACACAACCTGTCATAAACATGACATAGCAGATTAATGATCAAACTTAAGAAGCTTTATTGGTTAACATTACATTAAACTGTCATGTGGTTGGGTTTGACATTGGCTGTCATGAAGCCATTATAACACTTTAATGACAAAGTCAATCAGTACCACTGTAGTTGAGGTCAAGAAAAATATTCATGACACAGTTATAATGACCTCATGACAGCCAATGTCAAAGCCAACCACATTACAGTTTAACTTCATTTTATGTCAAGATGTCATAACAAAGACATCTTAAACAATGTCATATTTGCATTCAAAATCTTATTATTGAGCAAAAGACACTTAATGACAGTTGTCATAAACTTCATATTCAAGATATATGTCATGTCATGGTTATGAAGGTGTCATGTCAGTCTTATGCACACCCCTTCAAGTAAAGTGTTACAGTAACATTTTTATTACTGTCAAAGTTGCATTTGATTACTGTAACTTTGATTTTTCTATTCATCAAAGAATCCTGGAAAAAAAAAATCAAATGTATCACGGTTTTCATAAAAATATTAAGCAGCACACCTGTTTTCATTACTGATAAAAATACGAAATGTTGGTAGCACTTTATTTTACAGTCCTGTTCCCCATGTAGATATGATGTATTTACTGTATTATAGTAATTACAATAACTGGGTAATAACTAAGTACTAACCCTGAACCCATCTCTAAACATAACCTTAACCTACTGAACCCATGACTCTCCTGTTCAAACTCGTTCATCAAAATGAACAAATCTTTTTCCGAGTCATTTGGTTGATTCATATTTGCCTTGGGGAAAATAAAAAAATGATTGTTTGCGTTTTCAACAAATGTTTAAAGCCACTGACCTGTTAACCACACCAATAATGCCCAGTCTGACTGGTATGACGCGGCCCAGCAGCACCTCCAGAGCATCTGTCCCAGCGTCCATCAAATCCAGCTTACTCACGACAAGCAGCGTCCTGTGACCTGAGCGCAACAGACGATGAGTACATTCCCTTCCCACAATGCCATTCAATGGAGCAATAATGACATCTGGACTTCTCTGCATGTCGCTCACCATCTGGGTCCACGTCACGTGCCAGTTTAAGGGCATCAGATGTGGCGAGGTCAGAGTTGGCGGGAGATACACACAGGATGAGAGAGTTGGGGTTGGAGATGTAGGACAAAATCATCTCTTGGACTTGAGTCTCGATATCTTCAGGCTGGTCCCCAACCGGGACCTACACAAAAAAAAGATCATATCATTGAATGAATGAATGGATTTCAGCTATTTTATCTTTAAAAATCGCAGACATATTTACAATTTTACTGGGAAATCCAGATATTTCAATAGGAATCCACGAGATTGGGAAATGGGAATTCTTTTTTTTCAATATATTTATTAACTTTTTACCAACATATAATACACACACACCCAGAACAAAAATACAAAATACAGTATAGACACATATTAATGTCTTTCGCATCATTACAACTTAGCATATCTCAATTTGTACAGAACTTACATCCTCAAGATTAATGAACATAAAAATAAATAAATAAATAATAAAAGAGTGATTTCCCCAGACAAGAGTGAAAGAGTGATTTCCCCAAACAAGAATTTGCAATGGGTTCAATGTTTTGGTTTGAAAGTGACTTCTGAGTTGTGCTTCATACATCACAATGTATTTTTTTTTTCATCAAAGTGTCCCAAATGTGGTCGCACCTAATACAGAAATGCACCTTTTCCATTGGTTTTCCAACCACCACTAGATGCTGCATTTCTGCCACCTACTGGACTGGAGAGTGAAGTACAGGATGGAGAGCAATGGTGTTTGCCACAATTTTACTGTACAATTACTTAAATTAGGGTTGTGTATCAGCAACAAAGTCACAATGGTAATACATTTTCATACAATTTTATACAATTCAATTAACACTCTCACCACTGATGAAAGCTAATAAAATAAAAGCTGAAGCATAGTAATATACCAACTATTTCAACATGTGCAGATGATCATGATCAAAACTTCTGTTCTATTTATTAGGGAATCCCAAACGGAGACGTTACAGTCGAGATATTTGGATTTATTAAAATTAATCACAGAAATTTTGCTCATAGATTTGACAGCAGAAAATTACACAAACCTCATTATGATTGAACACAGACTTGCTGTGTTACACATTTCTTTAAACAGAATATCACACTGGAGACCGCTAAACTTCAAGAGTACCAGCGTTTTCAAAAAACCTGTGCTATTATCTGTGGAGACTGAGCAGAATATTTCCCTATCGTGAAACTTTGATTTAGGGATTAGATCTCTAGATATCAGCCAATCCTATTATATTTGCTCACAGGCTTAGGTAGCCTATATTATTTATACAGTATTGCTGATTCATAGTTGTGCACGATATATCGGGCACCGATATAATATCGGCCGATATGGTCAATTTTTTTACATATCGGCATCGTTCCGATGTCAAAATAGGGCCGATGTGAACAGGACGATAATCGTTACTGTGTATTTAACGTGTGTGTAGATGTGAGTGTGGGGGCGGGGATGTTTGTTTTTTCACGAGCGCAAACATTAAGAGCCTGTCCGTTTAAATATCAAGCACAAGAAGACTGGAACTTGCACGCTGTTTTCTGTCAGCCTTACTAAGGTGTTATTACGTATTATATAGCTAGTTGGGCTAGTCTAACGGTGTACTATTTAGCTTTAAAGGGTTAGTTCACCCAAAAATGAAAATTCTATCATCATTTACTCACCCTCAAGTTGTTCCAATCCTCTATGTGTTTATTTGTTTTGCTGAACACAAAGGAAGATATTTGGAAGAATGTTTTAATCAAACAGATCTCATTCCCCATTGACTTGTATTGCATTTTTTCCTACTATGGTGGTCAATGGGGAATGAGATCTGTTTGATTAAAACATTCTTCCAAATATCTTCCTTTGTGTTCAGCAAAACAAATAAACACATAGAGGATTGGAACAACTTGAGGGTGAGTAAATGATGATAGAATTTTCATTTTTGGGTGAACTAACCCTTTAAAGCTAAATAGTACACCGTTAGACTAGCCCAACTAGCTATATAATACGTAATAACACCTTAGTAAGGCTGACAGAAAACAGCGTGCAAGTTCCAGTCTTCTTGTGCTTGATATTTAAACGGACAGGCTCTTAATGTTTGCGCTCGTGAAAAAACAAACATCCCCGCCCCCACACTCACATCTACACACACGTTAAATACACAGTAACGATTATCGTCCTGTTCACATCGGCCCTATTTTGACATCGGAACGATGCCGATATGTAAAAAAATTGACCATATCGGCCGATATTATATCGGTGCCCGATATATCGTGCACAACTATGAATCAGCAATACTGTATAAATAATATAGGCTACCTAAGCCTGTGAGCAAATATAATAGGATTGGCTGATATCTAGAGATCTAATCCCTAAATCAAAGTTTCACGATAGGGAAATATTCTGCTCAGTCTCCACAGATAATAGCACAGGTTTTTTGAAAACGCTGGTACTCTTGAAGTTTAGCGGTCTCCAGTGTGATATTCTGTTTAAAGAAATGTGTAACACAGCAAGTCTGTGTTCAATCATAATGAGGTTTGTGTAATTTTCTGCTGTCAAATCTATGAGCAAAATTTCTGTGATTAATTTTAATAAATCCAAATATCTCGACTGTAACGTCTCCGTTTGGGATTCCCTAATAAATAGAACAGAAGTTTTGATCATGATCATCTGCACATGTTGAAATAGTTGGTATATTACTATGCTTCAGCTTTTATTTTATTAGCTTTCATCAGTGGTGAGAGTGTTAATTGAATTGTATAAAATTGTATGAAAATGTATTACCATTGTGACTTTGTTGCTGATACACAACCCTAATTTAAGTAATTGTACAGTAAAATTGTGGCAAACACCATTGCTCTCCATCCTGTACTTCACTCTCCAGTCCAGTAGGTGGCAGAAATGCAGCATCTAGTGGTGGTTGGAAAACCAATGGAAAAGGTGCATTTCTGTATTAGGTGCGACCACATTTGGGACACTTTGATGAAAAAAAAAATACATTGTGATGTATGAAGCACAACTCAGAAGTCACTTTCAAACCAAAACATTGAACCCATTGCAAATTCTTGTTTGGGGAAATCACTCTTTCACTCTTGTCTGGGGAAATCACTCTTTTATTATTTATTTATTTATTTTTATGTTCATTAATCTTGAGGATGTAAGTTCTGTACAAATTGAGATATGCTAAGTTGTAATGATGCGAAAGACATTAATATGTGTCTATACTGTATTTTGTATTTTTGTTCTGGGTGTGTGTGTATTATATGTTGGTAAAAAGTTAATAAATATATTGAAAAAAAAGAATTCCCATTTCCCAATCTCGTGGATTCCTATTGAAATATCTGGATTTCCCAGTAAAATTGTAAATATGTCTGCGATTTTTAAAGATAAAATAGCTGAAATCCATTCATTCATTCAATGATATGATCTTTTTTTTGTGTAGGTCCCGGTTGGGGACCAGCCTGAAGATATCGAGACTCAAGTCCAAGAGATGATTTTGTCCTACATCTCCAACCCCAACTCTCTCATCCTGTGTGTATCTCCCGCCAACTCTGACCTCGCCACATCTGATGCCCTTAAACTGGCACGTGACGTGGACCCAGATGGTGAGCGACATGCAGAGAAGTCCAGATGTCATTATTGCTCCATTGAATGGCATTGTGGGAAGGGAATGTACTCATCGTCTGTTGCGCTCAGGTCACAGGACGCTGCTTGTCGTGAGTAAGCTGGATTTGATGGACGCTGGGACAGATGCTCTGGAGGTGCTGCTGGGCCGCGTCATACCAGTCAGACTGGGCATTATTGGTGTGGTTAACAGGTCAGTGGCTTTAAACATTTGTTGAAAACGCAAACAATCATTTTTTTATTTTCCCCAAGGCAAATATGAATCAACCAAATGACTCGGAAAAAGATTTGTTCATTTTGATGAACGAGTTTGAACAGGAGAGTCATGGGTTCAGTAGGTTAAGGTTATGTTTAGAGATGGGTTCAGGGTTAGTACTTAGTTATTACCCAGTTATTGTAATTACTATAATACAGTAAATACATCATATCTACATGGGGAACAGGACTGTAAAATAAAGTGCTACCAACATTTCGTATTTTTATCAGTAATGAAAACAGGTGTGCTGCTTAATATTTTTATGAAAACCGTGATACATTTGATTTTTTTTTTCCAGGATTCTTTGATGAATAGAAAAATCAAAGTTACAGTAATCAAATGCAACTTTGACAGTAATAAAAATGTTACTGTAACACTTTACTTGAAGGGGTGTGCATAAGACTGACATGACACCTTCATAACCATGACATGACATATATCTTGAATATGAAGTTTATGACAACTGTCATTAAGTGTCTTTTGCTCAATAATAAGATTTTGAATGCAAATATGACATTGTTTAAGATGTCTTTGTTATGACATCTTGACATAAAATGAAGTTAAACTGTAATGTGGTTGGCTTTGACATTGGCTGTCATGAGGTCATTATAACTGTGTCATGAATATTTTTCTTGACCTCAACTACAGTGGTACTGATTGACTTTGTCATTAAAGTGTTATAATGGCTTCATGACAGCCAATGTCAAACCCAACCACATGACAGTTTAATGTAATGTTAACCAATAAAGCTTCTTAAGTTTGATCATTAATCTGCTATGTCATGTTTATGACAGGTTGTGTTGTCTTAGTAATGTCAAGTTGTCATGACAAAGACACTGACAGGTTATGATGTATTGGTTTATGTCAAGGTGTCATAACAAAGACATCTCAAACAATGTCATATTTGCATTAAAAATGTCATAACTGAGCGAATGACACTTAAAGGATTAGTTCACTTTTGAAAATACTTTTGCTGATAATTTACTCACCCCCATGTCATCCAAGATATCCATGTCTTTCTTTCCTCAGTCGAAAAGAAATTAAGGTTTTTGATGAAAACATTCCAGGATTTTTCTCCATATAATGGACTTCAATGGGAACCAGACGGTCCAAGGTCCAAAAGACAGTTAATAACAGTTTCAGATGCAGCTTCAAATGTCTTTAAACGACACCAGACGATGAATAAGGGTCTTATCATGCGAAACGATCGGTTATTTCAAAACTTATTCCAAAAATGTAACTTTTCTAAGGACAAATGCTAGCCTTGCTCTATTCTCTGAGGCGCGTTTGT